ACTGTCAAAAGAAAACAAAATGCAGCAAAACAAAAACAAAAACAAAACCATTGTGGTCCTGGACAGCATGCAAACCACAAAGCTGCAGAATGAGACAGCTGAATGCAGAGTGCGAATCCCTGTTTCTATGAATAGTACCACCCAAAGAGGAAAGCATTTCCACAGTTTAGACCTTGGGACAGAGGAAGGGACCACCCCACTCTGCTCTGTCCTGAGCAGACACCCTGAGAAATGAGTTTGTGTCTGGCTACACCCGTCTGCTGGAATCGTAACTGATGGAAGTTAAGCAGCCCAGTGAGAAGCTAGCGACCACAAGAGGGACGTGGAAAGGTTAAGGCTGAAGAAGTAACAACTCAATAGAGGAGTGAAAGCTGGTTCTAAATATTTAAAGAACTTATTAAAGCACAAATTGCTGAGCCTCACAGGTTCCCAGGGGATGCTGATGTAGATGGTCCTGAGGCCACACTTTGAGAACCGCTGCTCTAAGTAACAAAATTGTAGTTTTTGTTTTTTTTTTTTAATACTCTGTAGTTCTAAGATTCCACTAAGACCCGATGGCCTGTTCCTCAGTAAATCCACATTGGGAAAAATTTACTGGTTTTGAAGCCTCACACATTTGTGGTTAAGATTGTGTTCTTTCTAACATTTCATATCGCTTAGCAGAAGTTCAATCTTTCCTTTATGCCCCTTAGTGTTTCTTGTTAGTTCAGCTTCGTAAAGCAGACTTCTGTTTCTGCTTCATCTTCTGGAATCTTTATATAGTAGACATTTTTCCTCTGGTCTTCTTCTACTTTGCCTGTATTTTTCTGTTATGTTCAGCAGATCAAGCTTCATAACCTACTAAGTTGTGAGCTACCTTTATCAAATGATATCTGGCTCCCCACATCTACAATAGTAAATACTGATCCAATCCTGTCTCTAAATGCCCACACTGAGCCCACCATCCCAGACATCTATTAGGATGGAAACGGCTGCATTCAATTCCTGATTAATTTTCTTTTCTCTTATATACTTGAAGCTTCAGTCTTTAGATCTCACTAGGAAAATTACAAGCATATGGGAATGCATGTAAATGACATGCAAAGTAATGCAAATTAATACAAAACATACATCTCTAAATTGCTTGAGAAAAGTCTATAAGCCTTAATGTTGATGTTATTTGCTTTGCTTCACTACACTCTGGCAAGCAGTGACTGGATCCTTTTATGACAGTTAATTTTATACAGCATCGAACACCTGACACTTGTTGACACATTAAGTGGAAGATGCCTTGCCTGTGAGTCAGGCAAATGGGACCCTGGCCTTAACGTAGCCACTGTTTGGCTGTATGGCCTTGGACAGGTTCTCAACATTCTCTAGGTTTCAGATTCTACAACCAGAAATGATTGCAATGGCATCATGTAATAAAACCGCCAGGACTAAGGTTTACTGAGCACTTACTATGTGCTAGGCATAAGGCACACATGATGTACACATTGTGCTTGCATAATGCACACAGGCAATCCTTACAACAGCTCACAAGGAGGTGCTGTAGAGCACGTACCCCTTAGGTGTGGTGTCATTTTAGAGACCAGGAAACCCAGACAGGAAGGTCAGGAAGCTTGGGCCTGGTCCTAAGCTAGCGAGTGACAGAGTCAGATCCAGGAACTCAGCAGTCTCACTGCAGAGGCCTTGCTCTTAGCCATGCTGCACCTCTGTAGCGTGATTATCATCCATGTTTCTCCTAAACATTACATTTGTATGATCTGTGAAGTAAATCACTCACAGTCATACGTGCTTTAAAACACTGTTTCTGTAAGATGTTGACAGCTTATATTATATAAGCTTGATGTCAAAATACCATCACAATCCAAGGGGGGGGGATCCAGACATCCTGTGTGCTCAGCTTCTCTTTCCAACTCACTCCATCACATTCCCATATGTCTAAGGCTCCCTCATCTTAAAGTACCTAGCCCTCTGTCCCACCTCTCACTCTGGGAGCAGCTTCCGGTCCTCAGCCACCATCGCCTCGCCCCCAACCCCATCCACCCCAGGATTCAGACCCCACCCCTGGTACAGATGACTACCATCTTTGGAGAGTCAGCCAGCGAGTGCACTATGTGGCCACTTAGGAAGCCATTCCACTCAGGAGCCTCGAAAGCTGCCCAGACTCAATAAAACCAAACTTGTCTTTCCTCCTCCGATGTTCCCTGTTTCTGTAAATAGCAGCACCCAAGCTTAGAGGGAGTCACGCTGCATTCTCACACCCTACACAAAACTCAGCCCCAAGTCACTCCAGAGCCAGCCTTGAATCTGCCCACTGTGTCATCCCTACTGGCACGACCTCAGCCTCAACTGCCAGGCTTCCTGCACCCTCTGAGCCAGCCCTGTCTACTTACGGGCTCCTCACGTCCATTCTCCACGCCGCAGCTGGAGTTTTGTTTTGTTTTGTTTTTAATCCATATCTCATCTGCATACTATCAGGTGTGAAACTGTCCTGAGGATCCACTCGCCACAATGCCCCTTGGCACCACCTGGCCCTGGTACCTGCTGGCCTTCCCGGTGCCATTCTCCATCCTCCCCTCAGGTCATACTGAACCTGTGTTTTCTTCCAACTCTCAGGCTTTCCTCTCCTCTGGTCTCAGCACACACCAGTATTCCCTTGGGTGGAAATACTCCCCTTTCTCACCTCTCCCGTCCCCCACGGCTGCTTAGTTTACACAGCTCCTACTCATCCTCAGCCCACCTTCAATCTCCCCAGCAAGGCCTCCTGCTTCAGCACCGATGCAGTGAGCTGCATGCAGCACATCCGCGCCTCACAGCAGCCAAAGTGCCTGGCTCACAGCCAGAGCTCAACACAGGTGGACTGAAGAACTCACTTGTCAGCCTTGCTTTGCTGATTTTTACTGTCTCACTGCTTTTTCCCACCTTGTAGCCTAAGAAGGAAATCCCCTGAAGCTGACTCCGTTTTACCTCTCCTATGTGGTGCTGTGATAAGCCTCAGGTCACCAGGTCATGCTCCCAGCACCGTGGGTCAAGGGTGAGGCAGAAACAGCACCGTCAGGTACAGGGCCCTCTACCTGCTCTCTCCCCCTCCCTTCCTGGAAAACCACCATAGGTCAAAGTCAGTTTGGGAAGCACCTGTATTTATGGCCTGCTTATCTTGAAGGCACTTGGCCAGGTGCCATAAAGTGCCAACTCTGACTGCCCGACTATGCCATTCACCCCTACCTACCTCTGTGCAGGAGATGTGACATTTAGCAAATCGGTATAAACTTTTTCCCCCAAAGAAAAGAGTATAAACCTTCCCATCCCACCACCACCCCACAGCAGGAAACTCCTTTCAGTACCCCGGAGAAAATTCGGCGGCCACACAATTCCTTGGCTATTGTTTCTCTCGTGATACCAGAAAGAGATAAATCAACATCATCTTTAATTGGTCGTTTCTCTCACAAGATTGGATCCTTAGAAAGTGCAACATAGGATATGCTCTCTATAATGATTCACTTTTAAAGATTTTACTTCCTTAAGACACTATCAACAAAAGCTGTCAAAATGAATTGTTAGTTTCTAGAATGTTTTAGGCTTATTGATGCTTTAATAGGGGCATGTTTTATGAATGCAAGATCAAAAAGGGCGACTTATGTCTACTCACATGAGACAATTAAATGCATTATATTATCCCCAACTCTGTTAATCTTCTGGTTTGTTGTTCTTCCATTATTAAAGACTTAAAAAAAAAAAAAAAAAAAAAAAAAAGAAGGAAAGAAAGGAATTTAAAAAGTGCCCCAAGGCCAATATCGTCTCTCTGCCTGCCCAGCAAGGGGACAATATACTGTTTCCCAGGCTACCTGACTCGGAAAACTTCCCCGTCAGGGAAAGCTGAGTCCTTAAATTTACAAAACACCCACTCGCCCCGTTTGCCTAGCACTGTTTCCTACGTGCAGACTGCAAATGCACTCGAGCGTCCCATTTCTCGGCTCGGATCCCAGAGGCTCCCGACCCTCTGTGGTAGGCACCGCCACCTCGCAGGGGGACGATCCCGGCCCGCTCTGCGGCACAAAAACTTGACCTTAAAAAGCGCAGAAGCTGGTCTCTGGGAAGGGCGCGGCCTGGGAGGCGCGGCCCGCAGCTTCCGCCCCCAAAGAACGACTCGGAGGCCCCCTCCAGCCCCGGTTGCCCTGGCACAGAAGCCGCGGGAGCAGTCCTTTCACGCTCCCCGCGTCCCTGTCCCGAAGCCCAGGGGCGGGGGCTCCGGCAGCATCGCTCGTCCCTGCTGGTCCAGGGCTGCGGAGAAGCTGCAGGAAGCTCTGAAAAGCGAGCGTCGGGAAGCCGGGCTCAGCAGTTCCCCCGGGCCCCCTGCGCCCCGCAGCAGCGCGGGCCAGGCTGCGCAGCGCTGGGCCCCGAAGGGCCAGGACGGCGGGATGCCCCCGCTCCCGGCAAGGGAGCGCCCACGAGCCGCGTTCTTGGCACTCGGGGAGAGTCCCGGGAAAGCCCAGCGCCGGCGCGCCTGCGACTCCAGCCTGGCGGCTCCGCTCCGCCCGCGAGCCCAGGAAGCCCGCGCCGCGGCCCGCGTCCGTTATCCAGGACACACTCCGCGCCTGCCGCCCGCCGCCCTTTCCCAGCGCTGGCCTCGGGGAACTTCCCCGCGTCTGGCCGCGGACGGCGGCTGCTGCGGGAGCCGCGAAGTTGCGGCGTCTCCTAGGCGCGCGCCGGGTAGCCCACCTGGCCCGCGACGCTGTGTCCGCCCGCCGTGCTCGCTGGTCGGCCCCGGAGTTACCGCAGGCGCGGGGAGAGGCCGGGGTTCAGCCCGGGTCCCCGCGCGGCTCCGGGAGGGCGCCCCCGCCTGCCGCCTGGAGAGGGACGCGGCGCCGAAGTTTTCCCCGGCGGGAAAACGAAAGTCGTGAGGAGCAGAGGGTCTGGGCGTCCCGGCCACCCCCGGGCGGAGACGAGGCTGAGACCCGGCTAACATCTCCAGCCCCGGGCGACCCTCGCTCGCCAGCGTGGCCAAGTCGACTTACGAGAAGGAGCGGGGCAGCCCCGAACGCGGGTCCGCGAGGCTGCGGAGGCCGCCCCGGCGGTGGCCGCGGGCTGTGCTCTGGGCTCCCAAGCTCTCCGCGGCGGCTTGCTCTCGCACTGCCCCTCCGTCGCCCTGCTGGGGAGCCGCTCTCTCCCAGCCCAGGGTGGGAGAGCGCTGAGCGGCCCCCGTGACGTGCGGCGAAAGGAGGAGCACCGCCGCCGCGCTCCCGCAGAGGGAGCTCCCTGCCCTGCGCTCCCGGTCCCCGCGCCGCGCTTCGGACAAAGTTCCCAGGCGCTCGCGGTGATCTCGGCTCTCCGCCGCTGCCCGGAGCGTCATCCACCTTCGGTTCCCTCCCACATTAGACAAGAAATCTGAGGTCAGGAGAGATAAGTAACTTGCCCAAAGTCGCTCAGAAGGCAGTGACAAAGCAAACTCACATCTGCGGCTCCTTTTTCCCCCCTGAACTCCGGGCTCTGCGGAGGCTCGGGCCCTGCGGGAGTCGCCCAACCAGACAGAAGGCAGCTCGCTCTCATGGGTAAGACGAAGAGTGTCCCACGCAGCCGCGAGAAATATTATCAGCAGCGTGGGAAGGTGGAGCTTTTTGCCCAATAACTAGAGTGCAAAGTTGTTTTTCAAACGGTGCCTACATGCCAAATCGGTTTGCTTTTTATCCTTAAGCGAGGGTGAGGGTGGCGGCTGTGCGGACGCCAATCGGGATCACCAAATAAGTGCACTGGAAAGAAAGCACACAGCTACTTAATCAATTGGCCATCAAGGACTCGGCCTTCCGAGCGGGTTCTTGTGAATATGCTAACCTTGTAAAACGGGCGCGCCACGCTCTGCTTGCTATTCACGCACTTCCAGGAGTCTCCCGCCAGGCTCCACGTCCTTTCGGGGCCGGGAGCTCCCAGGGCTTGCCTTTCAGGGCAGGGAGTGGCACCAGACAAGTCAATCCCAGTCGGTTTGTTCCTTACTCCTTGGTCAACCAGTATTGACTGAGGGCCTGCAATGTGCATGGCTGTTGGATGGGGAGCTGGGTCGGTAGGACCTAGGACCTCGGACCCAGTGAATCTCAAAGAGGGAGTGTCACATGGGTCCCCATATAGTTTACTCTCAGAATCTGGAATCTGCCCAAAGCAGTAGAGAGACTTTGAGTCTACCCCAATCCCCACGCCTTTTTAAAAACTCCCTGTGCTCAGAGAGCAAGTGTTTTAATATTCGTTTTACAGACTTACTTTCAAGCAAATGGCCAACTTCGCCTTCACTTCCTCCCCGTGGGACCACCTCTTTCTGGAATAATAATTTACACTTCCTGGGTCTCCCTCATTTGCACATGATGATGGTGATAGTCGTGATGGTAAAAACAACTAAGGCTTCTATTATCCACCCTGTGCACTGTTCTAAGTCATTTATGCAGATTAACTCTTTCAATCCTCACAACTTTATGAGGGAGGTGCTATTTTAATTCTGATTTTACGGATGATGAGAGGGAGGCAGGTGAGGTGAAATAACTTGCCGGGAAGTGGGTGGTCTGTCTGGTGTCCATGCTCTCAACCACTGAGGTCTCCAAGACTGGAATTCAAAGGGACCATCAGCCATCATTAACCGCAGCTGACACATCTCAAACAAGCCATGCTAGGAAATACATGCACTTCCTCCCAAAGAGGTGAATTTTACTATTTTGCGTATATCATGTCATAAAGTGGATATCCATTCACTCACTTGCTCCTCTATTTCCAACTTCCAAGTCAACTATTTTGTCCTAAAGCAAACTATTTCTTAAAAACCTATTCATCATAAAGTTTGCAATTTTTGTTTTGGATTGTTTTTTACGCTCAGACCATACCCAGCTGTTTCCCTCTCCTTTCTACTCACAGACTTGTTATGCTTTTTTTTTTTTTTTTTGTGAGACAGAGTCTTGCTCTGTAGTCCAAGCTGGAGTGAGCATGCCACACTGTAAGCATGCCCATTGCGCTCAGCATTCCTGTATTGTTCTTCTAGGACTGCCTAACAAATAACCAGGCAATCTCAGCTCACTGCAACATCCACCTGCTGGGTTCAAGCCATTTTCCTGCCTGAACCTCCTGAGTAGCTGGGACTACAGGTGCACACTAGCACATCCAGCTAATTTTTGTATTTTTGGTGGAAACAGGGTTTCACCATATTGGCCAGGCTGGTCTTGAACTCCGGACCTTGTGATCCGCCTGCCTCGGCCTCCCAAAGTGCTGGGATTACAGGTGTGAGCCACTACGCCTGGCCAAGTTACTCTCTTTCATCCCTTAAAACCTTGTTGTAACCAGCCCTGCAGGTCTTCTGAAAGTGGGTTGCCCAAAGATGGTAGTGGCCCCAGAATGGTCTCTGCCACACTGTAAGCATGCTCATTGCACTCAGCATTCCTGTATTATTCTCCTAGGACTGCCTAACAAATACCACAGACTGCACGACTTAAAACAACAGAAACGTATTTCCTTACAGCTCTGGAGGCTGGAAGCCTGAAATCAATGTGTTAGCAGGCTGGGATCCCGCTGTGCCCCTTCCTAGCTTCTGGTGGTTGCTGGTAATTCCTGGCATTCCTTGGCTTGCAGCTGCATCACTCCAGTCTCTGACCTTTTCCTGTGTCTCCTCTGCAAATACGTTTCCCTCTTCTTTAAGGACACCAGTCATTGCACTTAGGGCCCACCCTAATCTAGTATGACCTCATTTTAACTTGATTACTTGGCAAAAACCCTATTTCCAAATAAGGTCACTTACACAGGTTCCAGGTAGACATGAATTTTCAGAGAATGCTGTTTAACCCGGTGCAGTCTCCAAAAGTCATTTAATAAAATGACAGTTAATAAAAACATATTGCCTGAGCTAAGGATGCAAAGAGGTGTAAGTCACAGCCCCTGCCCTCCAAGAAACTCTAGTTACAGAGGTAGTCCTTGCACTGAGAACATAAAGACTGGAGTCACTAAGAGCCAACTAACTGGAGCCAAATGACAATCTGGGGACCAAATGGCAGCTGTGCACAAGGAATTCAGCCAAAGGGGCACGGTCACTGAGGATACGGTTATAGGACTGCACTCAAAGGTGAGGGTGATTCAAACACATCTATGAGGGAAAAATTGAAAAAGCAAAGAGAAATAAGGAGAGCTTATCAGAAACACAGCTCCAAGGGGAAGAGTGTGCCTGGCAGAATTTTACTTCTTGAGTTTCATGCAGAAATGAAAGACTGAAGGGATGCAAATACCTATCATACTGAGTATAAGAACATGGTGAATTACTTTTACTGTACTAATAGCATGCTGTAATGCCATAGCAATTAGCCTGCTTTAAAGTGCTCTCTTCACTGGGCACAGTGGCTCATGCCTGTAATCCCAGTACTTTGGAAGGCCGAGGTGGGAGGATCACTTGAGGTCAGGAGTTTGAGACCAGGCTGGCCAACATGGCAAAACCCAGTCTCTAGTGAAAATACAATAATTAGCCCGTGTGGGGGCGAGCACCTGTAATCCCAGCTACTTGGGAGGTTGAGGCACGAGAATTGCTTGAACCCGGGAGGCGGATGTTGCAGTGAGCTGAGATCACGCCACTGCACTCCAGCCTGGGTGACAGAGTGAGACTCCTTCTAAAAAAAAAAAGTGCTCTCTTCTTTTAGTAATATCATTTGATCTTTATGACAATCCTGGGTGTCATCAGAGACAGGGACATCGTATTTTATAACCAAGTATCCCAAGGCTCAAACAATGAAGTAACTTGCACAGGTCAAACAGCAAATCATTTGTAGAGTTGGTATGAAGCATATTTGCCTGGATATTCCTCAGTTAGGAATATCCCCATGATGTTGGCTCATGGGCCAGCCTTCCAGTATTGATTGCTTTGTTTTTGGTCCAAAGAAAACGTTTCAAGAAAAAGAGAATCCTGCAAGAAATGGAAAGTTTTTCTAAAAGCTACGTGAATCTCAAACTGGAATTGTGAAAAATCTTCCCCAGACATCTGAACTGGTTTCACTAAACCTTCTGAGGATTTGCAAGTGTATTGAAGTCTCCTTTAGGCCTTCAGAGACTTAATAGGATCTAGTGGGCTTCTGCAGAACTTCGCTGATTATCCTAAAGAAATAGGGGTTGAATGAAACTTTGGGGGCACTCAGAACATGAGAAGTTGAGGGGAAGCTGAGTAAAAAACAAGAAATTACATTACAGGATGGTATGCCAGCAGAAATTGACAATTAAAACTCAGTATCTGATCTCACCAATGTGTAAAGTTATACACAGACGACGAGATCTTGGTATGTTTTGAAAACTTTCTGATAAGAATCTGCAACTATGACTAGCAACTGAAAGCAAGCAGGAAGTCTAGTGTTGGACTGAGTATCTGATGATTTAATGTGTTTCCCTGGATTTTCCTTTGCTTAGCAAGCAGGTAACTTGCTGAATCTTCTGCTGGCTGTCTTTAAAAGTATATTTAAGCTTGAAATGCTTTTGATTCTAGTGTGATTCATTGAGTCTTGGTTGTGCATAGTGCTACACTGGTTGCTATGGGAGAGTACAAAAATATAAAAGACAGTTCCTGACCAAAAGAAAATCCCATCTAATTTAGGACACATGAGACATATAGAATAAAAATTATATAAGTGTGTTTGCAATGGAATTTGTAAGCAGTTATTACTCAGTTCTCTGTTCAGATGTGACTTCTTGAAAACAGGACCTCCTTGGCTACACTTTTTAGAACAATGGCCTGTCCCACCTCCACATCACCTATTGGACTTTTTCCTGCTCTGTGGTCTTTATGACACTTATTTCTATCTGAAATTAAATTGTTGCTTGTTTACTCTGCTCCTAGACATACTATCTCTGAGAGCATGAACTTTGTCTTATTCTCTGCTGTATTCCTAGCCCCTGAAGAAATGTTGGTAACATAGTAGGTGCTCATTAAATGGTTGTTAAATACATGAATAAAATACATATTAACCAACTGAAAATGCGCCAGCATAACTTGGATTAATACTCCTCACATTTGCCTGATAAGACTCACCTAGGCATTTGGAAAAAAATTTGCCGCAGGTTCTGATTGAGTAAGCCTAGAGTGGGGCTCAGGAATCTATAGTTTTAAGACACATCCCAGGTATTTCTTTTAATAGGACTGTCTGGGAAACATGCATTACTACAGTAATTGAGGGTTGGTGGGAAAGAAAAGTGAACTGATAACAGCAGGTTGCAGAGGTCAGTGGCTGCTCATTGCAGTTATCTGGAGGAGGTTTTAAAAATACTGATACCCACTCCAGACCTGTGAAATTAGAATCTTTTAGGTGGGGGCAGACTTGGGCAGGGTATTAAAGCCCAAGGCAGAGCCCTCATGGTGTAATCACCTCTGAAGCGTTCCACCTCTCAACACTGTTGCACTGAGGATTAAGTTTCAAATATATGAACTTTGGGGAACACATTCAAACCCTAGTCCCTGGGACTGCTGATGCCCAGACTCATTCGCAAAGATTCTGCTGTATTGGATATAAGGGAGGTGTTTTTTTGTTTTTTGTTTTTTGTTTTTTGGGGGTGTGTGTGTGTGTGTGTGTCTGTGTGTGTGTGTGTGTGTGGCAGAGAGGAGAAAGAGAGAGAGAGACATGCAGCAGTGTTGCTAATCAGAGGTTTAGAAAGAAAGAGGAGAGTCTGGCCCATATAATCTTCATAATAACAACAGCTATCGTTTATTGAGCAGTCACTGTGTAACAGCCACTGTGATGCCTGCTTTGCACAGACTACTTCATTTAATCCCCCACAAAAACTGTAGGAGGGAGGCACATTGGCAGCCCCATTTACAGACATATGATGAGACTGGGGAGGATTACAAGGTTCTATGACTAGGGATTGGTAGAGCTGGGATGTCAGCCTAGAACCTATACTCATATCCTCTGTCCTATACTGCTTCCTCAGCCAAAAACAGGTCTGAAGAGAATGTCAACAAGGAGAAATTCTCTGTGGTAGAGGTCACGTCCAGTCATTTTAAGCTGTTTGCTGTGCTGTGTTGTGCTATAATTCTTTCCTCTTTGCCAGCAAGCCTTAAGCAAAGCTTGTTCCACATCAGCTGGCATGGGTGGTGCTGTGGGGAAAAAGAAACCAGGTGGGGTGAGGTTAGCATAAGGCAGAAGGATGGAGAAGGTGGTGACAGCACTAGAGACTGACAGCAGTGCCCAGGAACCAACCTGACGGGCAGGCTGATGGAGAGTTTCATAGAAAAGCAGTCATAGTGGGAGAATGTAACTTC